GGTATTGTTTACTTTGAGTTAGTATACGTACAGGTATTGTTTACTTTGAGTAAGTATACGTACAGGTATTGTTTACTTTGAGTGAGTATACGTACAGGTACTGTTTACTTTGAGTAAGTATATGTACAGGTATTGTTTACTTTGAGTAAGTATATGTATGGGTATTGTTTACTTTGAGTTAGTATACCTACGGGTATTGTTTACTTTGGGTTAGTATACGTACAGGTATTGTTTACTTTGAGTAAGTATACGTATGGGTATTGTTTACTTTGAGTTAGTATATGTACAGGTATTGTTTACTTTGAGTTAGTATACGTACAGGTATTGTTTACTTTGCGTAAGTATACGTATGGGTATTGTTTACTTTGAGTTAGTATATGTACTGGTATTGTTTACTTTGGGTTAGTATATGTACAGGTATTGTTTTCTTTGGGTTAGTATACGTACGGCTAGTGTTTACTTTGGGTTAGTATACGTACAGGGATTGTTTACTTTGAGTTAGTATACGTACAGGTATTGTTTACTTTGTGTGTCACTAAACCGTATACAGTCGTCCATCCCTACAGACACCATAGTATCTCCTGTCACTCTTATATCGGTCACTTGGTTAGTGTGACCTTTGCCGTCCATCTCTCCATCCTCAAAAGTGTCACTCCTCATGTAGTGTTAGGTGTATTAAGGAAATTAGTTCAATTTCAATACACATGTATTAAGATATAAAGTGAATCCTGATGTAAAAATGTTTTTAAAAAAAAACTATCTAGTTCTGAGATACATTAAGAACGAACAAAAATACAGAACAAAGATTTCGGCCTTTGGGTACAAAGTTGTAACTTTATTAGCCACGAGTCACCCTTCTCTCAATTATAACCAATTTCTTCAGTGAAAAAATTATATTACTGCCCCCTTCCCTGGACATAAAAGCTGGCATTCTGGGTAAAACTGTAGTTTGATGTACCTGGGTTTTTGGCACATTATGGTATTGTCATCCTAAACACTTTTATGAAGTTTAGTAAAATAATATCAAATGATCCCCGACAGGAGTTAACATAGCACTAAATATTTTCAGACAAAACTCAGTACCCTCTTGCATTGGCAACTTTCCTTTTTGAATATTTATCAATATCTTAAAGTGTTTTGACACTTATGGTCCAACCAAGCATTGCAGTTATTTATCATTTGACTTTTTTCTGTGATAGACATTTTTGGAAATCAGCCTGCGTGTGGTAGTACACCAACCACTTGTTATAATACACCAGTATCTCTACGGACAAAGCACTGCTATATGATTACACTTTCCTTCATTTGGGGATGAATATTATCAAAGTCACATTCATTTGTAATATTTAATCAGATCCGAGGAAAAAAACTACATACCGTACACACCAGTGTTTAAATCCAAGGAAAAAAATTTGTCAATCAAAGCTAAAGGTTGATGTAGAAAAAGGATATTGATATGTCCGTCAGAACTGCCTGTAAATACGGTGCTGTTATCCTCGGACAGAGCCATGGAAATCACAGGTTTGTTAGTTCCCTGAAACACAGAAGGTACTTCACTGAAACAATGGGAATCGGTGGTTGCATCATTCCCAGATTGACATAAGAAAGGATAACATCTTTTACTCAATCCAATTGGCTGCAGGATATTTGAGTAAAAGCAGTTTGAGGTTACTTCACAACAAATACTATAGAAGAAGGTATGAAGTTTTATGAAATCTGGTAGTTATCTGGTAGTGATCTCTCCTGACACGATTTATATCTACAGGTATCTGATGTGTATAATAGCTTTAGTGATCTCCCCTGACACGATTTATATCTACAGGTATCTGATGTGTATAATAACTATAGTGATCTCTCCTACAGGTCTCTGATGTGTGTAATAGCTATAGTGATCTGCCCTGACATGATTTATATCTACAGGTCCCTGATGTGTATAATAACTATAGTGATCTCTCCTGACACGATTTGTATCTACAGGTATCTGATGTGTATAATAGCGATAGTGATCTCCCCTGAGATGATTTATAACTACAGGTATCTGATTTGTAGAATAGCTTTAGTGATCTCCCCTGACATGACTCATAACTACAGGTCCCTGATCTGTATAAGAGCTATAGTGATCTCCCATGACATGATTTATAACTACAGGCCTCTGATGAGTATAATAGCTAAAGTGATATCCCATGACATGATTTATAACTACAGGTCTCTGATGTGTATAATAGCTAAAGTGATCTCCCA